TTTTTTTTTTTTTTTTTTTTTACCGGCTATTTCTCAACACACCGACGGTACACTGTGTTACGCCGGTACTTTTCACGCGCAAAGCATGGCGCACCAATATTAAATCTCGCTCGATCTCTGAAAATAACGCTGCAAGCAACTTCTTGGCAAATAAAATTTTCTCAAAATGAACATTCCGTTCAAGTTTCTCTGAAACCGTTTCTCATCGTGTTCAATGTGTTTTCCAAGAATCGACGAATAACCTGATCGTTTTCGGTAACATCGATTCCCGCGTGTGTGTTTAAAAAAAAAAAGAGAGAGAGAGAGAAAAAGGAAGGAAAGCGAACCAACGAACGGTTTTCTCTCGCGACCCGATAACCGATAGACCAACGCGTAGAACCAATCCTCCCTGCACGTGTCCGCTGAACCGGAAACGGGTCAGTTGGAACTATTGTATCGGGAATTCGTCCCGTATCGATTTGTTCGAATAAAATTTGCTAGATATCCTGGCAAACTGCTATGTTTGCAAACGACACTCGTTCAGAATCTTTGTTGTTCACTTTGTACGAACGATACGTCGTCCAGCAACGTGAAAACGAACGGCCAGAAATGGCGAGAAAGAAGAGGGGAAGAGGAAAGAGTCGAGGAATCGAGGAGGAAGACTCAACAGTGCTGCGTGTTTCTTTTCATCGTGTTTCCGAGCAGTCGCGTAAACTATCCTCCACAATAGCGAACAAGGTAACGACGGTAACGAATGAATGTGATTATCGATCTTTCGAGGCACAATGAGCGAAGTAGGGCGAGATTCTCCGTCATCCAACCCCTTCTCCAAAAACTCTCCTCCGGATCCTCCTACCCTCCCTCTGGTTTGCTAGGAATTTGCAGCCCGCTCAATTATGGAGCGACCCCGGCGAATATTGGGTCAAAGGTCGAGAGGGGCCTCGAGAATATTAATGCGGAAAGTCTCGCGTTCACCTTTAACCAGACGCGACGTTTGCCTGTTTCAGAAGCTGCCATGTGCGCGAATAACGTCACCGTGGATGTGGCCACCTTCTTTCCGCAGATCAACGGCAATCTCACCAAGATCGTCTGGGCCCATGCCGTCAACAACAAGACCTTACTCGAGAACGCGCTGAAAACAGGTAGGTCGATCGCGTAATTGAAGTGGTTTCGCTCTTCTCTTAGCAATCTTTTGACGAGATCAATCGATGACGAGATAGATTCCGTAATTGAGCGAAACGTCGGGGCAACGTTACACGCTTCGGATGAAATTCTCCTGGCACTCTCCGTCTATCGACCAGCTTCGCGAAAATATTCCCGGAGTCTCAGTATCGTATTCCGAGGCTGTGTCTCGCTCCGTCGGCTTTAATGCCGTGCGAGTGGCATCTCGAACGATACTTGCACCGCGTTTGGTTACCAAGCAACGCGAGAGACTTAAATCGTGTCTTAAGATTCAGGATTGAATTTCCAACGTCCCGTCGATAATTACCGATTAACTTCTTTTTAAACGAGATATCGCGTGAGGAGCGAACCGCGAGCAATTGGCGATCAGATATACGAAAAGAACGCGGACGAAACTCAAATGATGAAAAGTTCATTTTTCCCGAAGAATCTTCGTCAAAGTATCGCTTGCCTTGAGCAAGCTCGATTTTAATTATCGGCATTAAACGCTCCAAGCGATTTCAACGTACGTCGAAGATCGCTTGACACGCTTTGTCGCGGATGCCGGATGTTTTAAAGTATCTTTCACCACCGTCGTATCCTCTTCTCGTTCTCTTTTCGCGGCGCGATTGCTCTTCGCGCTTCTCAAACGTACCTTCTACCTTCATCTCTTCTACCTTCTTCCTTTCTCCCTCTTCGTTCTCGCGACGCATGCAGCTTTGCTACAAACTTACCCTCCTGTTTAAAGCCGACATCATGATGCTGGAGGCGGACGTTACGATAGCGAACAACACGACACCGATAATGGCACATCCGCCGGAGAACACGAGTGACCTAACTCTGGAGGAATTCCTCGACAAGGTGATCACGAAGAACGTTACCAAGGGCATCAAGCTAGACTTCAAGAGCATCGAGGCCTTCAACGCGAGCAAACCTATCTTGGACAAAGTTCGCAACAACGTACGTATCTCGTCCGTTGTATTTATAGACCGACGTGTGCATCTTTGCGGAGTCCTTCGCGCTTCGTTTCACCGATCGCCACCGTTCAACAGAACTCGGCGGTTATTTTTGCCTCGATTACCGATGGCCACGCGTTTCTCTCGATCGGGAATTCTTCACAGCCTTTGTTGTAGCCTTTCGTTGCCAATATCTGTTTTCTTTTCTCTAACGTTAACCGGCTAGCTTCTTTCCCTTCACAGATCACGTTCCCCGTATTTCTGAACGCGGACATACTCGCTGGGCCAGTGAACGCGAATGCCACGCCAGTGAACGCAGTATCTTTCCTCACGGAAGCCAAAGCGTATTCAGAGTACACGCTGTCGGTCGGCTGGACCACCAGGTGAGAACGAGAAATTCCGAGCCCGAGTAGTGCTAGTGATAGTAATAAAACTGCGGGCGATGCTTCGAGATTTCTCATCGATTCGCGTTTCAGGTACGAGGCCAAGGACAATGCCACCGAGGCTCGATACACCGAGAAGCAAATTCAGGAAATGATCGACATCCTGAAGAAGCAGAACATTACCCAGCCGATAACTTACCCGGTAAGAGCCGGTCTAGCCGCGAACGACATCAAGGTGATCAAGTCGCTGATGGAGAAGAGTTCCGAGATGAAGAACGCAACCCTGACCATTTGGTCGAGCGAGGGCGACAAGGTCGACGCGGATCAGTTATCGGCGTTGATACGCGACGTTGGAGTGAAGAAGGTGTTCGTCGACGTGCCGCAAGATCTGTTGAACAAGCTCCATTATTCCGGAGCGTCAAGCGTCAGCGTCGCTTCCGTCGCGCTTGCGGTCACTTTCGTCACCGCTTTTCTATCAACGATATTGTGAACGGTTTGAACAATTCTCGTCGCGTTTCGCGTTATGCTGGTGGGGCTTGAGGGACGGAGGAAGGTGTCTTCTTGCGTCTTCTTCCGTCGCCGCGGAATTTGTCCCTCGACGAAGGAAAGATGCGAGAGGTTGACGAAACGCGAGCCGAATCGCCGATCAACGATCGTCAAAATTCCGAAAAATCAAAAAGCATTCTCGATTTCCAACGATCGGACGTTCCCCCGTTAGAGTCCCGATCGTGAACGTGTACTTTCTAGCGTGTAAGCTTTATTCGCAAACGTTTTTTCTAAGTATTTTAAGGAAGCTTTCTTAGGAACACGATATTCCCGTCGATCGCAACGCGACACCCTTGCTTTGCGAGCACTTCAACATCGTGCCCGTTGCTTTCTTCGTTTTCCAAACACGGCTGTTTTCTTTCCGATTCACCCGCCGACCCGTTTTTTGTAGATTTCTATGATAGAAATGCGGCGAGGCGCCTGTTCCGATTCTTTAAGTAAACGTACTAAAATGATTAGAGTAAGATATAACATACCGGAAAGGCGTTATGATAGTTGGACTATGTCATGCCCGATTTTACCGATAATTGAAAATTAAATTGATTTAGCGAACGAATTAACGACGTTTTTCTTTCAGGCGCGTTTTACAACAGGCACGCACCCCGGTTGATTTCGCATCTCGGACGTGAACCACCACGCGTATCGGTGCCGTGATAAGGAAGGAAATTCTAATCGACGCTGGCGCACTTATCACAGGTTTTTGCACCATTTACACCTTTGAGACGCGCGAGATATCTTTTTTCTATGATACACCGCGTCGAATGCGAGATCTACTCGTAGTGTGTTATATCGTACCTCTTTAGTGTTCACCGACGTATCTCCTGTACCTGCCTTTAACATATCTCAGACATAGGTGCAGAATAATGATGCAAAAACAAAATACATTAAAAAGAAAAAAGAAAGAAAATAAGGTATTAGATTTTACGTAAGCTGCAAACGTGTATATCTGTAAGCCAAAGGATTGTGAATGCGTAATACGGTGCCGGTGCACCGCGTTTGATAACGAAACAATAAAATTATGTGCAAAATTCGTCGGCTTTTTCCATCGAATCCTCTACGCGAGCGTTTCTCTCAAAATTTTGGGGCAAGTGAAAGAGTACTCAAAACAATTAACGACCATTGATTTCATGTTTTAACGGAGAAACAAAAATAGAAAGAGAAAATCAGAGCTGGATAAAATGCTATTTTAAATACAGTAAATAGTAAATAATCCTTTATTTATTTATTTTAAATTATACGTATAACTTTGAAAATAAAATATTTTATTTGATACAGTAAGTCTTTAAAATAGAATTTGAAAATAGTGTATACTATTTGAAGAGAATTGAAAATATTTGAAGTTATTTCCTTCATTTTAAATACTGTTGCTAAAAATAATGATTTACGTTCAATATATTTATTAATTGGCCAAATAATTTTTTTATGTGTAAAAATATAAGTACTAATTAAGTGTAAGTTTTATTTCTTTTTTGGAATATCGTTGAAACAAGAAATATCAGATCATTCTATAAATACTGCGGTTTGTCAACAAGAAACAACACAAAAAGAAGAGAAACTAAAAAATGACATTCAGAAAAATCACAATATTTATGGAATGGTCCAATGCTTCAAGCAAGATTGAAGTATTTTATTTTATGCTTTAAATTATTAAATTAAAATATTATATTTTATATTTTAGATTATTAAAATGAAAATATTTTTTGTTTGTTGAAACATTACATCCTACTTAAAATACTATTTTATTTAAGCTGGACAGAATCTAAAATATTAAATACTATTTAAAATATTTATTTCGCACAATATTGCTAAGTTCTTGAGAAACTAAAGGAATACAGGTAACATAAATAAAAAAAGAACAAAATATTATAATAGAATGAATATTTAAGTGTTAAAATAAATTCAAAATTGAACGTTTGCACTTACGGTCGAGTAACAAAAGAAAAATTAATTTGATCAGAAATTCTTTAATTCGGTAAATCCAAAGATCATTAAATACATTTAAAAATTAATCTAGAAGACCAGAGTGCACAAACATGTATTGAAAGAATAACCAAGTGATTTCAAAATTGACCCTTCAATTTCGAAATTAAATTTGGTATTAAATGAAACTTCAGCTTATGATGAAACATCAATTGATTTGTACTTTTCTGTGTGTTAAATTTACGACATTCTTCTATTGTAAGACGCTAGAAGCAAGTTCTCAAAGTTGGGACCTGTATTGCGGGTGGTCCGTCTTTGATCCCCTGAATCGATGATTGCTCACGCAAAGCGTGTCGTAGAATACGAGTCGTTACATTCACAACGCATCCCTTCATTTCTATCGACATAATTCTCCCAACAGACTAACACAGAGAATCGGCAAAGAACTCGTTCAACATCGGAAGAAACCGCGAACGAATTTCTGTTATCCTCGAGATCCATTAAATTCGTTATCGAGTCAGGCCTTTTAATTATTGAATTGGATCGCTGGTCAAACAGCCTGGAGAAACCCGTTACCGACCGAACGTTCACTCGGTTTCTGTTTACCCAACCATTTGACACGAACGATGCAAGTCGTGGACCTTCTGTTTGCCTTTCGATTATTTACCATCTGCTCGCGTAACCGATCGAACTGCAGCTCTGTTCGTTAACGATCTTCGCATGCCTGCACGACGATAGATAATAACTAGGAGGAATTTCATTGTCTGTCGACACGGTGCTAACGCCAATGATACCGACGCGTTCGAATTCCGAGCGGGATTTTTTCGCGCCGACGTTCACGGTGCCAAGGTAACACGGTGAAAGAAAACGAGAAGCAGAGGGAAGGCGTGGTGGAAGGGTTACGAGATGTCAAGGGTCACTCCATCGAGAGTGGTCTTCGGTAGGAAGAAATTCCGGTTATCGCGATCGGGCTTGACCACGTTGTTCATGCCACGTGACAAGAGGAGATTACTCCAAAAAAGGAAAATATATGTATATATTGATTAGGGCACTCTCACTGAATAGTAATCAATTTATGTCTGACTTACGTATCTCTGACTTTGAGATGAAAGAAAACGCAATTTCTTCTTATAGCGGGCGCGAGTTGTTCGCGGTTCACAATTAATCATAGAAAAGTTAAAGTATCAGAATTGTAACACTAAACGTACCAAGCGGGGTCAAATGATGCGCTTTTCAAAGTTTACTTTGAAATCGTACATTCGTTGTTATTCCTTTCGCTAATCTGCCTTTTTGTAAATTCTTATATTATCTGATTATTCAATTTCTCGTTTTCTGTTTTTCTCTTGGCTTATTTCTTACCGAGAAAAATTCTTTGCATACGTTATGTACCGCGAGGGGTCATTTGACCCCTTATGGTAACATAGGTATATGTAAAATGCCGGTACGTTTAGTGTTAAAAATACTGTATGGTTCGGCAAGGTACGAGTGTATCTTTCTATTGCTCAACTGGATTGACTTTAATGAATATTGGGCTTCTTATATAGAGAATTATCTCGAAACTCACAGAAGAGACAAATACGCGCATTGCACGTTCTACAGGTGCACGCACTTCGTGCAAAACGAGATTCACCACGGATATATCCGTGATCCGACAACGAAAATGCGACTGCACGCATCGCGAGATGCCATCTGGTTTAAACCCGTGCAAATTAGCAGTTTCTGGCAAATTTGCCGCCGCAGTAATTTGTCACAACGTTGTACGTAGATTTAGATGAAGTGTTCACACGATATGCAAAGTTTAGCGATAATTAGATGGCAAATCTGGACGCGCATACTGTTTGGTCGGAAATGGAACGGAAGATTGTTGATTTATTTATCGATAATCTTCTGGCTACGATTTTAAAATTTTTATGCGACAAATTTTACAATTTTTCATTTTTGAATGAAATGCTCGTCGAAGGTTTATATAATTTGCCATTCACCATTCGCCATTCTACAGTAAGAATAATTAGAAGGAGTTTCAGAACAAGGATATACCATTTCTGTGAATGTAATCACTTCGAAAGCGGTCAATAGTATAAATTAGTAGTACAGATCAAATCTAAAACATAGAATACAATACAAGAATATAGTATAAATGAGTATAAGTATAAATGAATAAGATTTCTACACTCGGTCGGTATTAATAATTCGAAAATTATGTGTTTTTTGAGTTGTGTCACTAACTGTTAAAAATAGAGAAATTAACAAATCCTTTTTTAAAAAAATTCTGTTCAAACATGATGCATGTATGTTGAATATATTTTGATATAGTATATCGAAAATTGATATGATGTATCGGACTTGAACTTGAAATATATAGTAGTTTATATGAATTACATTTCGTCTAAAAATATATCTGTTGTCTCATGGAATTTTATTTTAAAATGTGCATAATAAAAAGTTATTTTAGAACATTTAATTAAAAATCAATTTTTATATTCGAGTACTACTCATTGAATAGTATTCAGTGTCAGAATTTCCTACAAATATTAACAACTTTTTTTCAAGATTGTCTGTTTCTCTGACAGAAAAATTTTTATTTTTATGTCTTATAAGATCTGTCTGAAACTTCTATTTTTAAAAATATTTATTTATCTGCTTTCATCGGGACTTGTGATGTAATTATTTCTCGAAATAGTTCTACAATCCATGTTTTTCAAATCTATTCAAAAGATACTTAATTTTTTCGATCCTTGTTTATAGATCAATTCGTTCGTAACAACTTGAACGCGATACTTTTAGGTACGAACGTAAATTAACGCAAATCACTCGTCTGTATATGATCGATCGTTCGTGCAAAGCATATTTCTCCAAAACGTTACGTAATTCATAATGAATTCAAGAAAGAAAAGATTGGAACGCGGTTGACACAGAGAAACCGAGTTGCGAACTACGATTCCAGTCAGTAACAAAGTGACCTACAAGCATAATCTGCCGAGATAACCTCCTGAACCCGGGCAAAAGATTTTCAATCAAAAGTGGCGTGCCTCGACGCGCTACATGCCAATCTTTTCGCCTAGTTTTCTCATAGGTTTCTGTAATCTATGTCGTTCCTTGTTCCCGATTATCGATAAGCAACAATGACCGCGTAAAATTTATTCGCTCGACGAGTCCGCGAAATACGTATCCACCTTTCAATGAGTGCTACAGACCAATCTCTGAGCCAAATTTTCTCGACGATCCTGCGAAACGCGTAAATTAACTCTACGAAATACGTAATACCTACATAGCCAATACTTTTTGATTCTCAATGAGTGCTACAGACAAGTTTTCTCATAGGTTCCTGTAATCTATGTCGTTTCTTGCTTCCGATTATCGTCAGGAAAGCGACAACGATCTCATAAAACGCATAAATGAGTTTATAAAATACATAACTATCTCTAAACTTTCCGCTCAGCTTTCCTGTTCTTGTCTACGACGATCACGTAAAACGCGCAAATCGACAACTCGGCACGAAATACGAAATCTAACTTTCGATTCTCAATGAACGAGCGACCGTGTGGGGGAGGAATGTTCGGACGTCGATGTCACGAACGAGGTTCGTGCACGAAACATGTTCTGCCTGGTAGAACAAATCGATGCATTGAGAGCGAGCCGTTGGCACGAGAACCATAGCTAAATCCGCGTGACTAATTTCGCTTCGTGCCCACGAAAATGTTGATGGAATTCCACGGAAGCGGCTGTTCTCTTGCCGCCATCGTTTCGATCTGCTCGAGTTTAGGAAGAGAAATACAGGATCAGGATCAGGATTTATCGCGTTGTTACTCGAGATCGTTTTCGACGCCTGTCGTCGACAGCTAGCCAAGCCGCGAGGTTAATCTCTAATATCGGCGCGAAAAAAATGCATACCAGGACCGTGAGCATTTGTTAGCGACATACGAACGTGGCTCATTCTGTTGGATCGTGGCTCTTAAATTTTCACGGCGCGCCGCGTAGAAACGACTGCATTCCACGGGAGTGTCTCACAGAGAGTCAAAGTCGGGGCGTCATTTATTCTTCTGCTCGTTCCTCCACCTGGGACGTCGGATCATTTATCTGGCAGGCTGATTACACGCGTTCCGCGCAGGCACCGCTCGAATTCTCCGACGAGGATGCAATTTAATCGTCGTTCTCGCAACAGTGTACCGACGTAGCCGCGATCCTGACAAATGGCAATGAATTAATATCGGTAACGCGATCCGGCGGAAGTGAAACGATTAAGCGACTTCTAAGTTCGACGTGTAATTTGCACGAACATCGTATGATCTAATTGTACGTCTCATATGCGAGACCGATGGTGAAGAAACGATATGGTCATTCGCTTTAGAACAAAAGTTTCATTTCATTTCATTTCATTTATTTATGTGGGATGAAATCTTTACTCTAATAATAGAGCGATGAGCACTGATTTATTCTATCTCTAAAGAATAGTTGTGGTGTTTTACATATAATAGGTCGAAGAGTTTCACATGAATCGAGTTACATGTCCATCTGAAGAAACATAGTTTCAAAAAAGCAAAAGTCATCTTGAAGACACGTATACCTGAGATTTATGACTATGAAAAGACTTTCCCTCCGAATTAGATAAATTATTTTTGTACACAGCAGAGACTTAATTGTAATAATTAGATATTAGGGAACATAAATATTAGATATTTATTATTTACTTATCTAGAGAAAAAGTCTTTGGTACACAGAAAAGTTGGTACAGCGAACTATTGACAGAGAATATTGGAATTAATACAAAGAAGTTTAATTCTGATCACCATGTAACATACGATATTTATTATTTTTACTTCGTAAGCTTTCTCAATCCTTTTTATGTCAACAGCTTGCTCTAGATTTAATCATAACAATATTAGTCCGTTAAATTAAATTCCGTTACTGGCTGGCAAGAAAGCTTAAAGTAAATTAATATTTATTAATGCTTCTTTTGCCTCGCACCAACTGGAATTTTGAACCGAAAGGAGTCTCCTCAAATATTTCGAACAAACAAACGAATAAAAATAAAGTTAACAGACGTGTAAAGATCCGCAAGGAGAGATCTGAAGCATGCAGAATCGAAGCAGAATCGAATCGGAAATGGAAGACGCGCAGATAAACATCTGATGTGGCATTGAATACGACCCGACTGGTATCGTTCGGGAAGATCCGCCGCGGATCTTCCTTTTTTCCATCCTCCGTTCCGAGCGGGGAAGGTTCGACGACGCGCAAAGAAGCGATGCTTTCCTGGTGATAGGTCGCGAACGGGCCGCCTTTATCGGGGATCGAATCGGAGCGGAAGCCGTCCGGTGGAGCTACTGTGTTTATTTATCGTGGCCGCGCACCGTGGCCGGCTTAAAAGGGCGACAAAAAGCATCGGGCGACCTCCGTACGCGACGAAAAACCAGTCCTCGTTGTACCGGTTGTGTAGTAAGCCAGGCATCGCGATCGTATCGACTTCTCGTTCTCGCCCCGGGGCCCCTTCTTCATCGACCGGGTCTCCAGGTACCATCCGGTCTCCGAATCCTTGCCGGAATATCTCTGAATGGCGACACGAAAGTGAATGGGCGCCGAGAGGCGAAGAGGGCGGCCGGTCGCTGGGCGTCGATCGTAAAATCGGGACTGTACACGAATCGCTGGCGAACCGTGACAGAAACACGTGTATCGACCGCAACGGCTCGATACGGGCAGATAATGTGGAAAACGCGTACCGAGATACGGATCCAAATGCGAACGTACACTTTTGACGCGACGTGAGATCGGATACCGATGTCGAATCGACGTGACGCGACATCCCGCTCGCTCGAGGAACTGCGAGAATGCGAATTCATTCGCCATGTTTGTACTCTGATACGATTTATATAAAAATGGGACGCTCCACATGCACGTGCCTTGTCGTATGCATCAGAAAACGCAATATTTAGACTGTTTCTAGATTGCGCCCTGTTTTGACCAAATTCGTAACCATTCACTGCGCCGATACTCGCTTAACCTCTTGTCTCATGATTTATAATATCGAGTACATATTCGGCTTCTGCATGAAAGAGAAAGCGAAAGATCGCAATCCTACGAAACTTAATTTCTTTAATTTCTAAACATTGATAAATCAAAACTATACATAATGTCTGAAATGTTACAATTTCAGTAAAATAGTGCTTACCTCGAGAAGAAAATCGTAAGCCAGAGGGTTAATAGATACGAATGCACAGCACA